TCAAACCACCAACTCACTCAAACCACCAACTCACTCAAACCACCATCTCACTTAACCATCAACTCACTGAAACCACCAACTCACTCAACCATCAACTCACTCAAACCACCAACTCACTCAAACCACCAACTCACTCAAACCATCAACTCACTCAAACCACCATCTCACTCAAACCACCATCTCACTCAAACCACCAACTCACTCAAACCACCATCTCACTCAAACCACCATCTCACTCAAACCACCAACTCACTCAACCACCAACTCACTCAAACCACCATCTCACTCAAACCACCAACTCACTCAACCACCAACTCACTCAAACCACCATCTCACTCAAACCACCATCTCACTCAAACCACCAACTCACTCAAACCACCAACTCACTCAAACCACCAACTCACTCAAACCACCAACTCACTCAAACCATCAACTCACTCAAACCACCATCTCACTCAAACCACCAACTCACTCAAACCACCATCTCACTCAAACCACCAACTCACTCAAACCACCAACTCACTCAAACCATCAACTCACTCAATCAAACCACCAACTCACTCAAACCACCATCTCACTCAAACCACCAACTCACTCAAACCACCAACTCACTCAAACCACCATCTCACTCAAACCACCAACTCACTCAACCACCAACTCACTCAAACCAGCATCTCACTCAAACCACCAACTCACTCAAACCACCAACTCACTCAAACACCATCTCACTCAAACCACCATCTCACTCAAACCACCATCTCACTTGAACCATCAACTCACTCGAACCACCATCTCACTCAAACCACCAACTCACTCAAACCACCATCTCACTCAACCACCATCTCACTCAAACCACCAACTCACTCAAACCACCATCTCACTCAAATCATCAACTCACTCAACCACCATCTCACTCAAACCACCAACTCACTCAAACCACCATCTCACTCAAACCATCAACTCACTCAAACCACCATCTCACTCAAACCACCAACTCACTCAAACCACCATCTCACTCAAACCACCATCTCACTCAAACCACCAACTCACTCAAACTACCAACTCACTCAAGCCTCCATCTCACTCAAACCACCACCATCTCACTCAAACCACCAACTCACTCAAACCAACAACTCACTCAAACCACCACCATCTCACTCAAACCACCAACTCACTCAAACCACCATCTCACTCAAACCACCATCTCACTCAAACCACCAACTAACTCAAACCACCATCTCACTCAAACCACCATCTCACTCAAACCACCAACTCACTCAAACCACCATCTCACTCAAACCACCAACTCACTCAAACCACCACCATCTCACTCAAACCACCAACTCACTCAAACCACCATCTCACTCAAACCACCATCTCACTAAAACCACCATCTCACTCAAACCACCACCATCTCACTCAAACCACCATCTCACTCAAACCACCACCATCTCACTCAAACCACCAACTCACTCAAACCACCACCATCTCACTCAAACCACCACCATCTCACTCAAACCACCACCATCTCACTCAAACCACCAACTCACTCAAACCACCAAACTCACTCAAACCACCATCTCACTCAAACCACCAAACTCACTCAAACCACCATCTCACTCAAACCACCATCTCACTCAAACCACCATCTCACTCTAAAAGGTTGAAGGTTAAGGTGCAGGCACCCCTGAAAATATATTGGCTCGCACCACTGCAAGCTCCCTTCTGGAGGATATGTTGTTGAGCCAGACGTTTGGAAGAGGTGGGAGTAACCCACATGTTACCCCACCACACACGAACTGCCGATGGACTACCCATTGACAGTGCTGAGTGGACAACGGCAGGGCCAGTGAGGGGGGATTTAAGAAACGGTTCAATCACCTGCCGCGCTTGGAGGACGAACCGGCGGCATTTGGGTTGCCAAGCCCAGTGTGATAACCGTCACATTATGGCAGCATCATAATCTGAATATTTTTCCTGGATCAATCCGATGAGCTATAAAGCTCTTTTTCACAGGTGTCCAGCACCACTTCATCATTTGGATGAGGGGTTCCTGAATCAGGTGAGAGACAGATTTGTCCTCCTCTACCAGGTAAGGTCGGGCAATTTTACTTCTCACTTCACCTTCCTCACCTCAACTGGTAAGGTAGGAAAATCATTGCTCCTGAACTAGGTGAGAGCCCAATCAGGTGTGACCTGTGGTGCATAAGGGGACCACACCAATGATAAAAAAATACTAAACTATTTTTTATTTTCTTGGTTCTTTCGGTAAAGTCTCTTTGTTTTTTTTCGGTAAAGTCATGTATAAATAAGAAATAATAAAATAACATAATAGCGTACGACGTTTCGGTTGCAACACAAGCAGCCATCATCAGGTACAGAAGAGCTAAATTTACGAGAGAGAGAAGAAACACATATAACCCCAGAAGTATATACAGACACCCAAGTAGGGGGGAACTAACACAGATACAACAGGGGACACAGAGAGAGAAACGTACCAAACAAACAGGGTTTAGCAAAATCGCTGCTTGTAATCGCCAGGGAAACGATATATAGTCCTAGAATGAAGGACTGTGCATTTGATAAGGCCACGTGAAGGTGTTGTGATCCCCGCTCTCTATTAGGGTGAGGGCTATCTCTTTGCAAACACCCATGACCTCACGACCACAACGAAGAGCATGTAAGAGATTTGTGGCTGGCCAGATGGTGTTGTACACACGTGTCATTTGGCATTGTGGTGAAACGAATTCAGCTCCATTATAATGTGACTGGACATGCTCGGGAACAATGCCCCATATAAACGTGGATGTCCAACCAGATGAGCTGGCACGCAGCTGTAGGCTGACCCCATAGCCAGGTGATATCACACTCCTCCATAATCTTGTTGATGTGCTCAGTTGAGGTGATGCCTACCTGTAGTTCTACTGATCGGAGGCTGACACTCATTGATCATTTGACGACGAGAACAATTCACTTTAATGGGCAACATCAAGTGCACAGATCCTCATACGCTGTTATCTAAATTTTGTATTGCCTCGGTGATTTAGTTAAATTGCAATGAAGAGAACTGGTGTATAAATCAGCCAAACGTGTGCTCAACGAGTGTACGGTTGGCAGATATAAATAGATCTTATTGTTTTCTGCTCTACTGACAAACCATGACTTTATTTACCAATATATATTTAAAAATATATATCCAGATAAAAAATAGATGTTGTTGCTTGACTGCTGCTGCTTATCTTGTTTAAATTAAGCCTATTTCATTTCTGGCCCTCACTCTCAGCAATAAAAAAGACTTATTAATATTAGGGTTTTTCCCCTTTTTTCTGGCAACAAAACTGGAACCTTTTTAGGAGGATTCACGTCTGCATTAACCACAATACCTGCAGTCAAAATGCAAACAAAAAACATAATATGATAATATATGCATTGTCCTTGAAACTGATTGGTGCTCGACCAATTGGGTCGAGGCTCAAAAGAAAGCCATCCCTTGGTGTGGACCAATCAGTTTCAAGGACAATGCATATATTATCATAGTATGTTTTTTGTTTGCATTTTGACTGCAGGTATTGTGGTTAATGCAGACATGAATCCTCGTAAAAAGGTTTCAGTTTTGTTGCCAGAAAAAGGGGAAAAACCCTATTATTACATTTTGGTACTGGCAAAGGAGGTCTAATGATGTAAAAAAAAGACTTGGCACTGACTCCTGGCCCTTTACATGGGGAGATGATCTGAACACTTGCAATGAATACGTTTTCACCCTTAAATGTTAAGTGTTACGTTCACAAAATGTGTCTGATTCCAATAATATGCGTTAATTGTGTTTTGACCGACCGTCTGTGTTGCTTTATATGGTTTCCAAATTTGGCTAAACCCTGTTAGTTTGGTATGCTTCTCTCTCTGTGTCCCCTGTTGTATCTGTGTTAGTTTCCCCCTACTTGGGTGTCTGTATATACATCTGGGGTTATGTGTTTCCTCTCTCTCGTAAATTTAGCTCTTCTGTACCTGATGATGGCTGCTTGTGTTGCAACCGAAACGTCGTACGCTATTATGTTATTTTATTATTTCTTATTTATACGTGACTTTACCGAAAAAAACAAAGAGTAATTCCTGCAGTCACGAAAGCTTCGAATCAAGTCTGAACCACCTCTACGGGGAGGTATGAGGTTTGTGTCTTTGTGTTGTCTCTGCTTGTGTATCTGCCTTTGTGTCTTGGCTTGGATTTGTGTCTCTGTGCTGTCTCTGCCTGTGTGTGGGCCTTGGTGTTTCCGAGTGTGTGCTGCTGCGCCCCCTTTGCTCCATGCATACCTCATGCTAAATTGTCCCATTGTCTCTCAGCCTTACCTTCTCTGCCTATTTAAGGCGACTTCACTGTGTGCGTGTCTGTGCTGGTTCGCTCTACTTGGATGTCTATGTGTGTGTGCGCGGTCTGTATTTTAAATTTCATACTTAACTTGCAATTTAGCAATCTTTGAAATAGCGTAATCAACCAGACTATGCGTTAATTGTGTTTTGACCGACCGTCTGTGTTGCTTTATATGGTTTCCAAATTTTGCTAAACCCTGTTTGTTTGGTATGCTTCTCTCTCTGTGTCCCCTGTTGTATCTGTGTTAGTTCCCCCCTACTTGTGTGTCTGTATATACATCTGGGGTTATGTGTTTCCTCTCTCTCGTAAATTTAGCTCTTCTGTACCTGATGATGGCTGCTTGTGTTGCAACCGAAACGTCGTACGCTATTATGTTATTTTATTATTTCTTATTTATACGTGACTTTACCGAAAAAAAACAAAGAGTAATTCCTGCAGTCACGAAAGCTTTGAATCAAGTCTGTAGTGCCTCTTGTTAAACAGTGCTTCAGTTAAACAGGAACATTAATAAATCCAGCAGGCATGACTTGAAAAGTAACAAATTTACATTTTGGGTGGCACTCTAAATCGTCCGGTAAATCGTGTCGCCAATTATAATGTCTGCGTTTATCTGCGCGTGTCTGTGTACCCCCAGTGGAGGAATACGTGCGCAGCTTGCTGGACAACCCTGAGTTGATTGACCGTCTGGCACTGGCCTCGGAGCAGGTGAGACTCCGTATGCGTGCATCAGCTCTGCCCCCCCCCCCTCATATTTATGGTGCGGGCCTGTACCCTTGTCCGACCCCTCACTTCCGCGTTGCATCCAGCTGCCTCACTGAAGAAAGGGACACTTGCCTTGCGCTGAGTACGACGTTTCGCTGGTTGTAATCGCCAGGGAAACGATATACTCGATTTGTAAGTGTTGTGGGTTTACTCTCCAATACACTGGCGTGCTGCAGTAGTAACTAATTGACACGTTTTGTTTTACGTAACAAACCTTACTAATTGGCTGTACCGGGTTAACTACACACATTTACGCGCTCTTACCCAAAAAACCTTTATTATGGATAATATTGGTCACGAAATAATACGTGTTAAACAGCTCCCTTTTAGAACGTCTCATCCTCACCAACAATGGTCAATCAATCAAATAAATCGGTTTAACACGTAGGCTTTCGCGACCAATATTATTCATAATAAAGGTTTTTGGGTTAGATCGCGTTATTTATAAATGTGTCGTAGCCCTCCACCACCTGACACGGCCAATCAGCAAAAAAAGTGTCACGTTGACAAAAGACAAATAATTCACTACTTTAGCCCACCGGTGTGTTGAAGAGTGAATCCACACCATTTACAGTTTGAGTACTCAATTGGATTCACTCTTCAACACACCGGTGGGCTAAAGTAGTGAATTATTTGTCTTTTGTCAACGTGACACTTTTTTTGCTGATTGGCCGTGTCGGGTGGTGGAGGGTTACGACACATTTATAAATAACGCGATCTAACCCAAAAACCTTCATTATGAATCAAATAAATCCTAGATTTATAACGTGGCATATTTAGCAAAAAGCAGAGACGGAAGGGTGAAACTCTAGAGGTAGCTCTATGATATCCGCTTTTGTGGAACGTTCTCTAACACGGATGGCCGTACTGCTCTGAGATAAATCAGACTGGATCCTTCGTCTCGTTACGTGATGTCAGTTGCAAAATTGTTGTTGACGCGTGCATGTGACGTGCGTGTGCTGTGTACGTGTGCAGGATGTGGTGGAGTCCCGGGTAATCTTCCCCAAACATCTCCCGCTGTCCCAGCTGCAGCAAGGTGTGCGCTCCGGCCGGTTTGTCCAGGGAACCTTCCTTGCGAGTCGTGAGAATTACCTGGAGGGGACTCTGAGGGTGCGAGGGGATGGTGACAGTGATAAAGAGGTACACGTTTCACAAGCCTGCTTCTGGAAGGAACAATGCTGTTCGATCGTATCTGTGAGTTTTAAAAACAAATTTACAATGAAGCAGTGGCATAGCGTTCTTGGCATGAGCAGTAGCTCTTAACCTTTACTGCAAGGCTGCA